TATGTATATATATATATATATATATATATATATATATATATATATATATATATATATATATATATATATATATATATATATATATATATATACGTGCGGCGTATACAAAACGGCCCCCGTCATTACGACTCCCGACAAATAGGTTCCCGCCATTTAGTTTCTCCACAAAACGGCCCCCGTCATTACGACTCCCGACAAATAGGCTAGCGTAAGCAAGGCATGGGGGCCCAAGGCACATAGGGGCCCTTTTCCCTCATAAAAAATTAAAACTTTTACAATGGAATTTTAATATTTGTTACATATAAATAATTTTAAAAAAGAAAAAGGTTAAAAGTTCCAAAAAGCCCTCCCCCCCACCGTTTCGGCAGTGGGATTCAGTGTTTGTGGGTCAAACAGAGCCCAATCGTTATAATAACACTACAGGCTATATCACTTTGTCGTGCAAGACATTGAGAGAATCAGCCTATAAATAAACTTTTTAGCAGTAGTAGGCAAGCATAATAATATAGTATAAATACAAAATCAGGACATATAAAATACAAAATGTTGCCTTCAGAATATTTATATATCAAAAAATATCCATCGTAAGTAGAAGTTGATCTCTTCGTTTAACTCCTCTGTAGCCTAACGCAGAGGCGTAGCGAAGGCGAGGCGGGGGGTGCGGACCGCAACGGGTGACACCATTTAGGGGGGTGACACCAAAGGCAAAAAAATGTAAAATTTATAGAATGAAATGCCATTTTCCAGATCCATTAGTTAAAGTTAAATAGTCTTCTAAGTACAAATCGAAAATTATATCAAGAGGGGGGGGGTGTGTGACACCACGACGTAAACCTAAACTATAAAGAAAACAATGCTTCATCCAACTGTATTATAAACAGACTGTAGATAAACATCGTTACTATTAAGTCAGCAGTGATTAAAGCTTAAACACTTACGTGTACCAGTATGTGGCATATATATAAATTTTAGGCCTATGTAGGCCGAAACACACACACACACACACACATATATATATATATATATATATATATATATATATATATATATATATATATATATATATATATATATATATATATGCTTTGTTTCCTGGGAGGGGGGTGACAATACGAAGTGCCGCACCGGGTGAGACCCGACCTAGCGACGCCACTGGCCTAACGGCTGACGAAGGGGCCCACTGATAATTTTTGCATAGGGGCCCAAAAATCCTAGCTACGCCACTGCACTGACAATACCGTTTCTGTAGAGACTAAGTCTCCCGGCAAAGCGGTCTCATTGAATATGACATCTGCCAGTGGGACCCCTTCATCAATATTCTTTAGAGTTAGCTTATCCAACACTCTTATGTAATACAACGTATGCATCTTTTGTTCGGCAGGCCTTATTTTTATATTAGTTTATCTATTATAAAATATAGTATGTTTTAATTTAAGGGTCATCTATCTACGACATCCATAATTGAGTCGGTTATAGGCTGTTCCAACTCATTGTGTGGGGAGAAGGGTCCACGCTGTACCTTCCTAACTGCAATATGCTTGTACAGGGGCGTAGCGAGGGGAGGGGGCGGGGGGTGCGGACCGCACCATTTAGGGGGGTGACACAAAGGCAAAAAATAGCAAAATATATAGAGAAAAAGTTGAGGGGGTGGGGGTGCAAATCAAAAGTTTGGGGGGGGGGGGTGCAAATCGAAAACTTGAAAGTTTGTCCCCGGGAAGGGTCGCAACGCCTCTGGGGGGGGGGGGGGGGGGGCTGACACCATTAAGTGCCGCACCGGGTGACACCCGACCTCGCTAAGCCACTGTGCTTGTAGGTTATCAAAACAAAATGCTGTTATCATGTTAACATCATGTATATCATACATTTACACTTCTGTGCTCGCTTTTAAGCAACAGATCTTTTCTGTTGTAAATTAAACATTATCAAAACTTTAGAATTGGTGGAATTTAGCTGTTAAGGGCTCGATTTGTTTGTGAATTAATGTTGGTTCATGAAAAAATAATTTTATTCGGGCATTAAAAAGAGGTTATTGTGGTATTGGAGGTAGGACACAATGGTTACTTTTATGCCAATAGTGGTCATATCATTCAATTTTCTGGAGCCAATATGTCGGGAGTCATTTTGTCAAAAGCCAATATGTCGGGAGCCCAATTGCCGGGAGCCAATATGTCGGGAGCCCATTTGTCGGTAGCCAAAATGTCGTGAGCCCATTTGCCGGGAGCCCATTTGTCTTGAGCCCTTATGTCGGGAGCCAATATGTCGGGAGCCGCTTTGTCGGGAGCCAATATGTCCTGAGCCTATTTGTCAGGGGTTAATATGTCGGGAGTCCATTTGTCGGGAGCCTAAATATCGGGAGCCCATTTGTCGGGAGCCTATATGTCGCAAGTCAATATGACGGGAGCCCATTTGACGGGAGCCAATAAGTCGGGGCCCTTTTGACGGGGCTATTTTGACGGGGTCGGTTTGTCGGGAGTCGATTTGACGGGGTCGTATTAACGGGGCCGTTTTGACGGGGCCGATTTGTCCCGGGTCGTTTTGACAGGGCACCATATATATATATATATATATAATTCTCTTCATGGGACCATGCGGGACACCACCATTGCCACGTACGCACGCCGAACCGCCCCCTCCCTCGTTCTCCAGGCATTTGAAACAGACGCACCCCCACCTGTCAGGTGAGCTGTGGCTCACACCGAATGTTTACAATCATATAGCCGGGTTGAATTAGTGACGGCTATTAGGAGCAGATAAATTATTTCTTAAACGCTCTGAAACAAAGGGAGGTAACAAGTTCTGATTTATCTTTTCATAGTCGTCTGACAACTGTGGTCACGGAGGCTGCTTTTACAAGGGCTGGGGGTGGGGGTGTAATTATAAATTACTTAAAAGTAGAAAATAAAACAACTAAATAGCGGCGTACATACGCCGCGAGTCAACTCATATAACTATATTCCAGAAAGTTTAGGGGAGATCACTCCTGCTTTATTTTTTATTGTTCTTATTTGTCTGTGACAGCGACTTGGATATGCAATGGTTGTAGTTTCAAGCCACCTGGTGGTATGATGGTCAGGTACCAGTTTGAATTTATTCTGCTTTATTTTATGAGAGCCTTATGTCGAGGGTGGTAATTGTTGTGATCCTTTAGCTAGTTTTCTAATGTTCAGTGACCTGATATTTACAGGTTTTTACAAGTTTTTTCTGTCGAGGGTGGTAATTGTTGTGATCCTTTAGCTAGTTTTCTAATGTTCAGTGACCTGATATTTACAGGTTTTTACAAGTTTTTTCTGTCGAGGGTGGTAATTGTTGTGATCCTTTAGCTAGTTTTCTAATGTTCAGTGACCTGATATTTACAGGTTTTTACAAGTTTTTTCTGTCGAGGGTGGTAATTGTTGTGATCCTTTAGCTAGTTTTCTAATGTTCAGTGACTGATATTTACATGTTTTTACAAGTTTTTTCTGTCGAGGGTGGTAATTGTTGTGATCCTTTAGCTAGTATTCTAATGTTCAGTGACCAGAATTTTACATGTTTTTACAAGTTTTTTCTGTGTGAACTACTTGTGGATTGATTGTTAATTAAGACGTTGTCTTCTCACCCTTTATTTGAAGGTTCAACTTGTACAACATCCATTTTATTTTCAATTGTGTGTCATATTTATGCCTTGCATAAGACGATTTTGGTTTTTACATAGTCTTTAAGGATCTGTTCTCTTTTCAGGTTCGTTTGTTGTCCGTTTGGGTGTTTAGTATGTTTTGTTGCTTTTATTTTTTTATTTTTTTATATTGTTTGCCTTATTATTTGATTTTAGGGTTAGGGTTAGGGTTTTCCAAGTCAGGACTGGTGCGCGGACCTTTGACCATAGGTGGTTTGTCCACAGCGGGGCTTTGGCCATAGGGGGTTTGACTTACATTTTTATATTACATTTTGGATTTAAGGATGCAATTTATGTTGTTTAATACTCGTTGCTTTTTCAAAAATATTTTCCACAAGAAATGTACACCTCGTTACAGTCCCAAAAGAGTAAAACGAAAAATAATAATCATTAAAAAAGTATTTAAAAACCCACGTTTTCTGATTGAACTAAAAAGTAGAAAATAAATACTTTACATCACAATAATGCAAGCGATCACTCTACTACAAGCGATGAAAAACGTGGGGCGCCGAAGTAAAAGTTATATTACTATTGATTAGATAATACTATTGACTTTTATTAAGGAGCTTGTAGAGAGTAAGTGGGGGGGGGGGGGGGGGTGATTTGGTTTTATAGAGAGGTAAGTTTGGGGGGGGGGGCTGATTTGGTTTTATAGAGAGGTAAGTTTGGGGGGCGGGGTGATTTGGTTTTATAGAGAGGTAAGTTTGGGGGGGGGGGGAGTGATTTGGTTTTATAGAGAGGTAAGTGTGGGGGGTGATTTGGTTTTATAGAGAGGTAAGTGGGGGGGGGGGGTGATTTGGTTTTATAGAGAGGTAAGTGTGGGGGGGGTGATTTGGTTTTATAGAGTGGTAAGTGGGGGGTGATTTGGTTTTATAGAGAGGTAAGTGTGGGGGGGGGGGTGATTTGGTTTTATAGAGAGGTAAGTGTGGGGTGATTTGGTTTTATAGAGAGGTAAGTGTGGGGTGATTTGGTTTTATAGAGAGGTAAGTGTGGGGTGATTTGGTTTTATAGAGAGGTAAGTGTGGGGTGATTTGGTTTTATAGAGAGGTAAGTGTGGGGTGATTTGGTTTTATAGAGAGGTAAGTGTGGGGTGATTTGGTTTTATAGAGAGGTAAGTGTGTGGGGGGGTGATTTGGTTTTATAGAGAGGTAAATGTGGGGCGGGGGGTGATTTGGTTTTATACAGAGGTAAGTGGGGGGGGGGGGTGATTTGGTTTTATAGAGAGGTAAGTTTGGAGGGCGGGGTGATTTGGTTTTATAGAGAGGTAAGTGGGGGGGGGGGGGTGATTTGCTTTTATAGAGAGGTAAGGGGGGTAAATCTGTATTATAGGGGTGTTCTAAATTTGCAAATGAAGGACGAGACTAGTAGAGAGGTAAGTGGGGTGGGGGTAGGGGGTGATTTGGTAAAATAGAGAGGTAAATGGGGGGTGATTTGGTATTACAAGGGCTGTATAAATTTGACGGGAAAGACCAGGCTAGTTGAGAGGTAATTAGGGGGTGGTATTACAAATGCTATCTAGATTTTCCAGGAAAGTAAAGCGGTAAGTGGGGTAAGGGGTGATTTGGTAGTACAAGAGTTGTCTAAATTTGCCAGGAAAGACCAGGCTAGTAGAGAAGTAAGGGTTTGATTTCTCTTTAATTCTAGTTAAAGCGATTTGTTCGACGGCCTATTTGAACGATTTGTTTTTACGATTTTGCTTGTGTCTGAATACCTTTACAACAATTACATAAAATTACCCGTGATTCTATCTATGACTATAGTTGGCGTTATTTTTATTTAGAGCGGAAAAATAAAGTAACACTTTACACTGTCACATAGCAGGGCTTTAAAAATACAAGAAAGGATTACGCTTTTTTATGAAATTGGGTTGAACAACAAAAATAAATACTGTATCGAGTAAGTGATCATTAACTGTATCAAGTAAGTGATCAATAACTGTATCAAGTTAGTGATCAATAACTGTATGGAGTAAGTGATCAATAACTGTATGGAGTAAGTGATCAATAACTGTATCAAGTAAGTGATCAATAACTGTATCAAGTCAGTGATTAATAACTGTATGAAGTAAGTGATCAATAACTGTATGGAGTAAGTGATCAATAAATGTATGGAGTAAGTGATCAATAACTGTATCAAGTAAGTTATCAATAACTGCATCAAGTAAGTGATCAATAACTGTAACAAGTAAGTAATCAACAACTGTATCAAGTAAGTAATCAATAACTGTATGGAGTAAGTTATCAATAACTGTATCAAGTCAGTGATCAATAACTGTATGGAGTAAGTGATCAATAACTGTATTAAGTCAGTGATCGATAACTGTATGGAGTAAGTTATCGTAGTAAGCTCTGCCATCATTATACCAGTAGTGATGCCAGGGGCTTGAAAAATAAATATTAAATTCAAACAACCAGCTCGTTTACTTGTTTTTACAACAAAAACTACTGGAATTAACATTTTAGCAGTGACATAAAAGATTTTATTAAAAAAATGTCCTACTACAAACAAACAGACACATCTACTAAATTAAAACAGATTTTAAAATAAATATGTATGTCTACTAATACAATGTATGTTGTTAAATGATAAATAAGGTGATTATTGTTAAGTATGTTTTGATATCGCTGCAATGTTTAAATTGCTTAAAATTTTAACATGAAATATTGAATTATGTTAGTTACTTCCCATTAACAAATTTAAACATTCAAGGGATAGAACTTAATTAGTTTCAAATGTTGTTTTTTTTTTTGAATAGATAAACGTAATCATTATAAAATAATTGTAAAAATTATTTTACTAAACTTATTATATAAAGTTTCGTACGAAATTTTCATTCGTTTTTAATTTTTTTTTCTATTATTTAATTACCATGTTGCATCCGTTTAATTAAAGCACTGTTAGTCATCTTACATTCTTGATGTTTTAAAAATATCAATTTCTGATAAACAATTGATCATATAATGTAAAATTTAAGTCTCGGTCTCTCTCGCTTATAATTCGAAATCTCGTTAGCCTGGGGGAGATATAGTTTATTATATCAGGGGTCGGCAACCTTTTGAGACGCAAGAGCCAAAAGTCGCAATTTAAAAAATTTCCCAGTTTTTAAAGAGCCGCCATTTTTATTTCAATATTATGATATTTTATTAGGAATATATATATATATATATATATATATATATATATATATATAGGCCTATATATAATTTAAAATAAATAGCTTTTAATATGAAATAATATTTATTCATATAAAAACATACACATGATTAGCACAAAACATATTTAAGTATTTTAACCAGCTCTGCTAGAATAATAAAATCAGTAATCAAATTATATCACAATAATTATTGAATAATATTTACAATTATAGTTTGACCTTGCAAGCTTTTTGAAAGTTTGTTTAAACCTGGCTCATAACTTGTTTTCAGTTTCAATCACGCCTCACGCCTTAAGATTTTTTTATTTGTTAGTTTACTTCAGTGTTTCTTCCAGACTTTTATCTCCAAGGGGGGGGGGGGGGGAAGCACTAAAAATTTTCGCGGGGGACGGACTAAAATTTCCAGTAAGGACACTGTTAAAAGTATATATTTTCTATATAAAGTCAATTTCGTCCGGGGAGGGAACCCCTCCCAAGAAATGCCCGGAAGAAACACTGGTTGGCTTTTTTACTTTTATTTTATTCATGCAAAAAAAAAAAAACGCCTGCTCGCATAAATATAGTGACCCGAAGATCGTCAGCACTCCAAATGCTAACTTCTTTACCTCACTGTAGTATCTTGGGAGAATATTTCATGCGTCACATAATAGTGCCTAAACTCGAGGCATTTATGTTAGAGCTGTCCAGTTGTGCTGCGAAACGTGCGCGTTTTTCTGGATCTCCAAATCTTCTAACTTTCTCCTGAGTTCCGTGAAATGTTTGGTTTTCAAATCCAGCCATTTCATTTGAAGCGAACCAGCATCCATTCCAATTGGCTCAATGTCGATCGCATTTGTTTTTGTGTTAAGACGATCTACTATGAACGTCAAAGTACTTGCATTTGTTTCGAATTGCTCAAATCACTCAGGAATCTATCATTCATTTTGTTTATTGTAATGCCTAAACAATTCATGTTAAAAGTAGCATGATATTTTTTTTTTCAAATTTATCAAAATTAAGTAATGTATCGCTCTCTGTGATTTCAACAAAAAAGTTTTTTTTTCGAAACAATCAACTTTTTCAAGCAACTCATAGGCTGGGTTTTCCTGTCCTTGCAGTTTTACATTTAGCTCTTTTAGTTTCTTTGTAATATCCACCATGAAGTTGAATATTTCGATTCGGGATGGACAATTTAATAGGAAGTAGGGCCCTACATTAAAATAGGAAGTAACCAAATATTCAAACAGAATGGCGAGTGTTTATTGTTTATATTTATTATTATATCGTTCATCACCGAATGTTGCAGAACAATATTTTTAAGAGTTTCGAAAATAAAATAATTATTAATATTTGTGCATGGAGCAGAAGAGCCGCATCCTGACATCAAAAGAGCCGCATGCGGCTCGCGAGCCGCAGGTTGCCGACCCCTGTATTATATGGTTATATCAGGGGTCGGCAACCTTTTGAGCCGAAAGAGCCAAAAGTTACAATTTACAACATTACCTGGTTTTTAAAGAGCCACTAACATTTGTATGTCAATAGTATATTTGTCTAGGATTTTATATATATATATATATATATATATATATATATATATATATATATATATATATATATATATATATATATATATTCCTAAACAAATACATTACATATGTAATTTTAAATAAATAGCTTTGAATATATGAACTAATCTCATTTGAATTTGTGTGGAGAAGATATACTAAGTAAGTCAGAGTACTTGCATTTGTTTTGAATAGCTTAAATCTCTCAGTGAAAACATCCTTCATTTTGTTTATATTAATGCTGAAGTGATTGAATAGTAGAATTGGTTTTATAACGATATTTTTTTCAGATTTTTCGTAATTTAGTAATTTACCGCTCACCGAAACAAACCACTTCTTCAAGCAAGACATAGTCCGGGTTTTTCTTTCAGTTTTACACTTAGCTGGTTTAGTTTCTTTGTGATATCCACTATGAAGTTGCATGTTTCAATTCGGAATGGACAATGTAATAGGAAGTACATTGAGATAGGGAGTAACTAAATATTATAATATAATAGTGAATGTTTATTGATTATATCTATTGTTTTATCGTTTACTACCGAGTGTTGCAGTCTAATATTTTTTATGAGTTTTGAAAATAAAATAAAAATAATTATTAATATTTGTGCATGGAGCTGAAGAGCCGCAACTGGACACCAAAAGAGCCGCATGCGGCTCGCGAGCCGCAGGTTGCCGACCCCTGGGTTATATAATTTGATTTTATTATCCTAGCAGAGCTAACTAAAATACTTTGTTTTGTGCGAAAACATGTGTATGTTTTTATATGAATAAATAGTGTTTCATACTTAAACCCATTTATTTTAAATCTATTTGCCTAATCTTAATCAAATACCATTAAAAAACCGGTGAAAAAAATATTGTTAGTGGCTCTTTAAAAACTGGGAAGGATTGTAAATTTTAACTTTTGGCTCTTCCGCCTCAAAAGGTTGCCGACCCCTTGTCTACCATCATTGGGGGGGGGGGGGACTAAAATTACCGGGGGGGGGGGGCGGAAACTGTTAAAATTATATATTTTCTACATAAATACCATTTCGTTTTGGGGGGGGGGGGGGTAGACTTTCTCTGACTGTAATGCTGTTATGTAATAAAAACTAGCTCTCTTACTATCGCCAGATCATCCCCCTCTTCGACACGCTGAAAATCATCCTGAACCAGAGAGACCCGGAGGAACAGGAGTTCACGACGGAATGTTTGAAAGAGTTGAGCAGTAATGAGGAGGCGAGTCAGGAAATCATCAGCAACGATGAGTTAACTGAGGTCCTTAACATGTTGAATAACTGTGGGAATAGCGAGATTTTGGACAACGTCAACTCAATATTTTGGAGGTCGGGGAGGACTAGCGGTATCTTACCGACCAAACCAGGTTAGTAGAGTCGAGCTGGATTCTAAAAAATGTGTATATTGTAAAATACACTTTTACAAAGTACTAGTAGACAGTAGCGAAGCGAGGGGGGGGGTGGGGGGGGACATATTTCCCCGGGCGCCGACCTGAGGGGGCGCCAAAATGGGTTGGAAAAATAAAGGGGGGTGCAAATCGAAAGTTTGAGGGGGGTGCAAATCGAAAGTTTGACGGGGGGGGGGGGTGCAAATGGAAATCTCGAGGGGGGGGGGGGTGCAAATCGAAAGTTTGAGGGGGAGTGCAAATCAAAATCTCGAGGGGGGGTGCAAATACAAAAGTTTGTCCCCGGGCGCCGGGAAGGGTCGCTACGCCTCTGAGTAGAGTAGTCTTTATATTTTCTATATAAATGTTTATTTTTTTCTATTTAATTCGGGAGAGGGGGTGTGAATGAAATTCGGGGGTGGTGGTGGGGGGGGGGGCGGAATGACCTCCTCCTTCCCTGAAGTGAAAAGAAACTATGTATCAAATATTTAAAACATAAATAATAGGTTCAAATCAACAAATTTCTAATCTAAAACATTTTAAGGTTCAGTTATAAGGTTCGGGTTTTTAGGTGAAGTACATTAACAATATTATGTACTTACCATTATTTAATTTCTAGTTAATGTGATATAATTTGTAGTTACTGAGATATATTTTGTAATTACTGAGGTATATTTTGTAGATACCTAGATATGATTTGTAGAAATTAAGTTACATTTGGTAAAAAAATGAAACATATTTTGCAGTTATTGCGATGCATTGTATAGTTATCGAATTATATTCTGTTGTATGTTAATGTTTTGTAGTTAATGATATATATATATATATATATATATATATATATATATATATATATATATATATATATATATATATATATATATATATATATATATATATATATATATATATATATATATACATATATACATATATATATATATATACATATATATATATATATATATATATATATATATATATATATATATATATATATATATATATATATATATATATATATATATATATATATATATATGTATATATATGTATATATATACATATATATATATATTGATGTTATATGTAACTGACATAAATCTTGACCCAGACAAAGTCCTCTCTGACGATTTCCCAAAAGAGTTTCACATAGAAACCGGACAAAGGCTAGGTGCCGGAGCATTTGGTAGTGTCCATCTTGTGACAGATACGCAACATCCTGAGGAGAAAAAATTTGTCGCAAAAAGACTTTACTTCAGGGATGAGAAACACATGGTAACGTGAGAAGTGATGTTATTTTTACACAAAATAAATTGCTTTCAATGTTCCTTTTTTAATTTTATTTCGGTCGGATATTTTTTTATTTTGTATTCTGTATTTCGGTATTGAATGTAACTATGGGAGGGAGTGGCATAGCGGTAGAGAGCTGGACTGCTAATCCGAAAGTCTCCAGTTTGAATCGGGATTCAAGTCAGTAGAATGTCCCTGATTCCACCCAGCTCTGATGGGTACCTAACTCACGTCAGGGAAACAAAGAAGGCTGGGCATAGTGCTGTCCACAGTATCCCTTCACAAGCCGACGTCTCTATTTCATATGCCCTATGTGTCTTGGGCACGAACGATAAAAGATGATGATTAAATGTATCTATAATAAACAACAACTGAAATAGAGTGATCAGGGTTGGATATAATAAAATGTGAAACAAACGCATTATAAATGAAGGGAACGTTTAAAGTTTCATTTACCAAATGTTCTCTTACTAATTATAAAAATTATCCAAACCTGAAAACCAAGCTGACATAAAAAAATTTATTACTGTAAAACACGTGACACTATTATTAGTAACACATCATCGCTAAAAAGAAATAACGACACAAAATAACAACAAAGAAAGCTACCAATGTGTTTTTACAAATATACATTGTTCAAGGTCCAATAAAAACAGCGAATTAGAAATTGTTAATAATTTTTATCATGTGCTATTGTAATAATCACAAATTCGGATTACAGAAAAGATGCGCAATCGGGAAACTAAACAACGAAAAACTGCGCAAACAGAAATAAATGCGCAAATACAAAATGATTATAACTAATACACTTTAATTTTCTAATATTTCGTTGAAATGTACTTGTAGTCACTTTTTAAAATTGTCTATAAATGCTCGATTTAGAAAAAGCAAAAATGCTCTTGGAAATTTTCGGTTGCGCAGTTTTCCGTTACACATCTTTCCATTCACCCACAAATTCATGTGGCATATTGCCTTCATATCTTTGTGATAACAAACACTAACGTTTGAACTATTGCTGCTGGCAGGAAACCTGCAAAAAGGAAGCGATGATTCTACTCAAAACCAAGCACCCGAGGATTGTGCAGTTCCATGGGTTTCTGAAACAAGAAGATGCATTTTTTATTTTCCTGGAATATTTAAAAAGTGTAAATATAATATTTCTTTATGTTTGTATTTAATTTTATATTGATTAAGACAAGATTAGTAATGTTGACATAGTTTGTGTGTGGTTTTAACGCACAATATAGTGTTAGTATTTAAGTTAGGTGATGGGTATAAACATCGTCACCGGCATTATAAATATACAGGTTGTGTCAATGTTGTGATGTCTAGATGACCGTAGATTTCCGTAAATGACCGATGATAACCGTAGATGACCGAAGATGACCGGAGATGACCGTAAATGACCGTAAATGACCAGAGATGATCGTAGATGACCAAAGATGACCGTAGATGACCGTATATGACCGTAGATTTGTTTTTTTTTTTATTGTTCGAATAAAATATGGTTTGATTATAAGAAACGCATGAAAATATCTGAAGTTAGTTGCCACCTGTTTTTTTTCAGTAACGTCACTAAAAATACATACCTACCTACCTGAATTTTTGTTTTCGAAAAGTAAAAATAGCATTAAAATTTGCATATTAAGATTAATACCTCAGTATTTTAAATATTATTAGCAACTTGTTATTAACTTAGATAGCTGATATAAAAGGTATTCTAATGATATACAACAATTCTTGCATTGATTAGGGGACCTTAGCCTCATTCGTCTCCGATAGAGGACACCTAGACGAGAAGCTGACGCGACACTTTACCATTCAAATACTTGAAGGCGTCGACTACTTGCACCAAAACAACATCCTACATAGAGATATCAAGGGTAAATTGTCACTAATTACACGCTGACACAGTACAAACACATGTCCTGAATACAAATAAATCTCATCGAATGCAATGGATAATAACTAATGCAAATAACATCAACATCAGCATCATCATCTTTTCCAGTTCGTGCACAAAACACACAGAGCAGATGAAGTAGAGTTTATTTGATTCAGCAACCTCAGCATACCGAGAGAAAATACGGCAAGTCGCCTTATTTTCATTCACGTGAGTCGGGCACCCATCAGAGCTAAAAACCGAACTCGAGAATAGACTTTCGGGTTATCAGTCAAATGCTCTACCATCCGACCACGAGGTTCGAATATGCAACGTAAGCGAATATATATATATATATATATATATATATATATATATATATATATATATATATATATATATATATATATATATATATATATATATATATATATATATATATATATATATATATATATATATATATATATATATATATATATATATATGAGCGTGTGTGTGTTTATATATTGTAGTATATTTATATATATTATATATATATATATATATATATATATATATATATATATATATATATATATATATATATATATATATATATATAACAATTTGATATGTGTAACAATAAAGGTTGTAACATTCTGATGGAGAATGACTGGAACATTAAAATAACGGACTTTGGAATATCTGAGATCAATGATTCGAGTGGCGTGCAGACAGAGGTTGGTACAGTGCTGTACATGGCACCCGAGGTGATCTTCACTGAAGGAAACACCATTTTACATTACACCAGCAGGGCTGATATATGGTAAGTATTAATCGTGTCTATATACATGTCTATATACATGTCTATATTATACATGTCTATATATATGACTACACCATTTTATACTACACCAGCAGGGCTGATATATGGTATGTATTGCTCATGTCTATATACATGTCTATATACATGTCTATATACATGGCTACACCATTTTATACTACACTAGCAGATGGTATGTATTGATCATGTCAATATACATATCTACACCATTTTGCGTAAGATACTTTCGGGGTGTGACTTGGTATTTACATACATTAGTTCAGTTTCTATGTAGGGGGAGGGGTGGGGGTGGTATAAAGCCGACTTAAAGATGGCGGTGGAGGCTAAAACTCCGTTCAGACATCCGCCTGTAGCTACACAATTAAACATTGAAACATTAAAAGCTAAACTTTTTATATAAAATATAAGAAATCGGTTACATCTCAACATTTCCAATATTGTTAACTTTATCTTAACATTTCCAATATTGTTAACTTTATCTTAACATTTCCAATATTGTTAACTTTATCTTAACATTTCCAATAATGTTAACTTTATCATAACATTTCCACCATTGTTAACTTTATCCTAAAGGAGTGTTGGCTGTACTGTGGTGGAGATGTTGACGGGGAGACCACCCAACTCCTCCCTACTGCCTGTACAGATAACCTTCAAATCAATGAAAGGAGAACCTCTACGCTACCAGCTTCCTGATACAACATCCTCTCTCGTCAAATCGTTTTTAGACCGGATTTTTCACAACATCCTCTCTCGTCAAATCGTTTTTTAGACCGGATTTTTCAACGCGTACCTAAGCTGAGACACACAGCAGATTGGCTGCTTAAAAACGATCCTTTTTTTTTATCAGAAAATGAAGAGACTTTTCCAGAAGAGTCTAAGAAACTACGATTATCATGATTGACAGTGGTGGAAAGCTGAACAGGAGACCCCCCCCCCAATCTAGGGGGGGGGGGGGGGAAGCTCCAAAATTTCTTTTATCAACGATATTAAAAAAAAAATTTCCTCCCCCCCCCCCGGAAAATATACGGTTGTCCCTTTTTCGGACACAAACGCCACAGCTCAACAGCAAACTGCATGTTAGCTGTCATCACTTCATGTCAAAAATGTTTATTTAACGTGAGCTCTACCTAAAATAATAAATATGTTTTTTGTTTGATCTCACTTAGTCTATAATAAACGACAAGTAAATAAATTAATTCAGACCAGCTTACTTTTTCAGATCTGCAAATGTATAGTGAACTCATCACACATACTAAAATAAAACAAAGTGACATATCCATCATATAATCCTGTGTCTTACATTAGATCCAGACCAGCAACACTATAATCAGAGGCGTAGCGAGGGGGGGGGGGGCGGGGGTGACACCAAGCAAAAAATAGCAAAAAATATAGAGAAAAACTTGAGGGAGGTGGCGCAAATCGAAAGTTTGAGGGGGGGGGGGTGGTGCAAATCGAAAATTTGAAAGTTGGTCCCCGGAAAGGGTCGCTACGCCTCTGGGGGCTGACACCATTAAGTGCCGCACCGGGTGACACCCGACCTCGCTACGCCACTGACTATAACCCTAACATACCCTAACATTTTACAATAATAGGCCTATATAGAAAAGTTATGGAGAGATGTTTTCAATTTTGTTATAGTTATGATTTTTTTTTAAAGATAAGGTATTATCAAGCACAATTAGTTGTTATATCATAGATGTAATAAGTTTATCCTGGATTTCTACTCCTCAAGTAATAGAAGTTGTACTTGAACCCAGTGGCGTAGCGAGGTCGGGTGTCACCCGGTGCGGCACATAATGGTGTCACCCCCCAGAGGCGTAGCGACTCTTTCGGGGGACAAATTTTTCAATTTGCACCCCCCTCAAACTTTCGATTTGCACCCCCCCCTCAAGTTCTTCTCTATAGATTTAGCTATTTTTTGTCTTGGTGTCACCCCCCTAAATGGTGTCACCCGGTGCGCTCCGCACACCCCGCCCCCCCCCTCTCGCTACGCCCCTGCTTGAACCTTATTCTCCTGTATGTTTTACCATGTAAGCCTCATATTATTATTTTCATTAAACAATTTAATTTTAAACACTCATTACTAAACGTGTTTTGTGAATCAGGAAACTATTAGACGCCAGCGTCATTAGACTAATTGAGCTTTTGTCAGTCAACGCGATATGGTGCTAGTATTTAAATTTCCTGGTTTGAGATATTCTGTTTTGTTTTTACATTCTATCGGCGACACAAGGGCCTTTTCAAAAATTCGTTTTCGTTTGTTTTAATTGCATGAGGTAGTTCTATCTTCGTTTCATGATGGATTTGGACTTGGTTATTTTTCACATGTTTTGCTGATATCCATCCTTCAGTCGTAAAGATATAGATCAGAGGGCGTCGCGAGGCGGGGGGCGAGGGGTGCGGGCCGCACAGGGGTGACACCATTTACGGGGGTAACACCAAGATAAAAAAAATTGCGAGATATATAGAATAAATATGTTTTTGCAAATTCAATCAATGGTTATTTAGAGTTAAAAATTATGACGTAAAATGCAAACTACAGAGAAAACCCAGCTATCTTAACAACCGATTATAGATAAACATCATTTGAATTAAATGTGAATACTTTAAAGCTTTTACCGGGGAGGGGGGGGGGGGGGGGTGACACCAAATGCAAAATTTAATGAGAAAAAAGAGTGGGTGTGGTGGACATCATGCGGTGTCGCACCGGGTCATACCCCGGTCTAGCGACTCCACCATCTAGATCAGGGATCGGCAACCTGCGGCTCGCGAGCCGCATGCGGCCTCTTTTGATATCAAGATGCGGCTCTCAGCTCCTTGCACAAATATTAATAATCTTAATAAAAAATAAAATATTTGTAATAAAAAATGTAAGTGGCTCTTTTAAAACCAGGGAAATTTTGAAAATTGTAACTTTTGGCTCTTCCGCTTCAAAAGGTTGCCGACCCCTGATCTAGATAATACTAAGAGGGACAACATAATACAATCGCTAAGCGTGTACACACACACACACACACACACACACACACACTCACACTCACAGACGCACCACGCACAATCACACGCACACCGCACAACAACACGCCCACATACAGTTTATATATATATATATATATATATATATATATATATATATATATATATATATACATATATATATATATATATATATATATATATATATATATATATATATATATATATATATATATATATATCAACAGACATTGTGTACCGCGTTTAAAAGGATTAATACGATGGAAACATAAAGTTGTTACAATTATCCTTCTTTGTTTGAATTACAAATAGGAAATTCCCGATATTATGTGTATTTATTTCCTCAGAAAATGAAGACTTCTAGAAAAAACTCACGCGCCTATTTTAAAATAGGATATTCCCGATATTACGTAATTTTGAAAAAATGACTTGTTTTACCATGAGCTCATATTGTGAGGGGGGGGGGGGGTATCCAGGCTATTTAGCAGACACAAAACGACAAAAACAATTACATTTTCAATTACGTAATATATTTTATCGTGCACCTTCACAATTAATTATGGTAAAAAAAAAAGACAAATAGATTTACAACATCGGTAATGTTTCTACTACGATTAAGACACGTTGTGGGGTAGAAGAAAAAAAAACACTATTTAAATTGTCGTGGTAAAGATAGGCAAAGTTTCATGACGCATTGCTCTTTTATAAACAATATAATCAAGTAGACCATAACGCATCTTTAAATAGTCCAATAGGGGATCCATAACAGCTGTTTAAATAACCAAATAGGGCTCCATAATACGTCGTTAAATATTCTTATTTGGGAGAGAGAGGCGAAGCTCTGTCACCAATAATCTTGAGAACCAAAATACAAATCTATTCAAAATTCGAAAAGGGACCAGAGTTTCTTCCAGGAATCTCTTCCCCCCCCCCCCCCCCCCCCCCCCCGAACGAAATGAAATTTATATAATTTATATAGAAAATATATACTTTTAACAGTGTCCGCCCCCCCCCCCCCCCCCCGAAGAAAGTTTACCGCCCCCCCCCCCCCCCCCCCCGAAAATTTCAAGTGCCCCTCCGGAGAAAAAAGTCTGAAAGAAACACTGAAAGGAACCCATCATACGCCTTCTTACAACTGCTGAACCTGAAAGCCTCAAGAACGAATCATGGGTGCTAGTTAACACGCACTGCTGTAATCTATTGCTATTCTCAACTTGGGAAGAAAAGTTAGTTATTACGTACTGCAGTAATCTATTGCTACTCTCAACTTAGGAAGAAAAGTTAGTTATTACGTACTGCAGTAATCTATTGCTATTCTCAACTTGGGAAGAAAAGTTAGTTATTACGTACTGCAGTAATCTATTGCTACTCTCAACTTAGGAAGAAAACTCAGTTAATACGTACTACTGTAATCTATTGCTATTCTCACTTGGGAAGGAAACTCATGCTTTCATTGATCTTTTAACTACGGTAACAGCTGTTTATTGTTGTTTTTTATTTATTGTGGCGAACGGTGTGGGGAAGGGTGTGGGGAAGGTGTAGGGAAGGGTGCGGGGAAGGGTGTGGGGGAAAGTGTGGGGAAGGGTGTGGGGAAAGTGTGGGGAAGTGTGTGGGGAAGGGAGTGGGGAAGGGTGTGGGGAAGATGTGTGGGGAAGGGTGTGGGGAAGTGTGTGGGGAAGTGTGTGGGGAAGGGAGTGGAGAAGGGTGTGGGGAAGATGTGTGGGGAAGGGTGTGGGGAAGTGTGTGGGGAAGGGAGTGGGGAAGGGAGTGGGGAAGGGTGTGGTGAAGGTGTGGGGAAGATGTGTGGGGAAGGGTGTGGGGAAGTGTGTGGGGAGCGGTGTGGGGATGGTGTGGGGAAAGTTCGGGGAAGTGTGTGGGGGAAGGGTGTGGGGAAGGCTGTGTGGAAGGGAGTGGGGAAGGGTGTGGGGAAGGGTGTGGGGAAGTGTGTGAGGAAGAGTGTGGGGATGGTGTGGGGAAGGGAGTGGGGATGGCTGTGGGGAAGGCTGTGTGGAAGGGTGTGGGGAAGTGTGTGGGGAAGGTGTGGGGGAGGGAGTGGGGAAAGTGTGGGGAAGTGTGTGGGGAAGGTGTGTGGGGAAAGTGTGTGGGGAAGTGTGTGGGGAAGGGTGGGGGGAAAGGAGTGGTGAATGGTGTGGGGAAGGGTGTGGAGAAGGGTGTGGGGAAGTGTGTGGGGAAGGGTGGGAAAGGCTGTGTGAGACGGTGTGGGGAATGGTGTGGCGAAGGCTTTGGGGAAGGGGTTTGGGAGAATCGGGAAAACAAAGCTCGTTGAAGCAGCTGGGACAGCGTGAGTAATCTAGGTCACGTGCTGTTTTCTGGGAAAGCTTCATGCAAGCTAAATAGCAGCGACCCAAAACCGTGCGGGCGACGCCTCATTTGGGAAGTTGTCTAGATCAGACTAGTGCCTACACCTTGCTACAGAGAGCGTGTTGTATCAGTATTCAAATGGAGCACTTACACTTCTGTTTTTTTATTTTATTTTTGTTTGCAGCTAAACTTTTCACCGGTTGAAAGTGAATGTAGCCTGTTTTTTAACGGATCACAGGAGCTGAGATATGAGCTCGCAGACTACTTTGATAAGAACTCCCCCACTAAAGTGCTGAGATATGAGCTCCTAATAAGCGGCTACCCGGAGGATTATTTAGAGCCAAAGACCCGGAGGTGAGAAAATACTGCTTCTGTTTTGATTTTTTTTGGATACATTTTTGTTAGTTGAGCAAATGTTGCCATCTAGTCTCGTCAATAGAGCACGTGTCACTCGGTGAGGCATATTAGATGTTACCCGCATTTCTCTAGTAGAGAATGACGTGCAATTCATGGCTATGTGTTTTGTGAACTATTATATATATATATATATATATATATATATATATATATATATATATATATATATATATACATATTATATATACATATATATATATATATATATATATATATATATATATATATATATAATATATATATATATATATATATATTTATATATATATGCCTCTGAATGTATATTATTATATACTTAACCAAACTTTAACCCTTCCACTATAAAAAAATACAAAAATAAGGCATATAATTTTTAAATTTCCTATATTTCTCAGCTTTTATTTGGTTTGTTTCAAAACATAAACAAAGTAGGCGTACAAGCTGAATCAATTTTCTTAAATACCCCTAATATTGCGTTTATAGACAACCTTCTTGTTGCAATGTTGTTAGACGGAGAAGCTGCGTGCCATAAAAACTACGCAACGCGATCAAGTGGGTCAAGGTAAAGGTCGCCCCATAGACCTGTAAATAGATCTAGCTACTCTGTTGGCCTTGCACGTTAAATGCCCTGCATCAGTATTCTTCACTGTGTACGAACAAATGTTTCGTCTGGTAAATAAACCAGTCAGTCTGAGCAGCAGTTTAAAGGTCTAGACTAACAGCTGGTCGGTGAAATGAAATAGCAACACGATTACATTAAATTGTTAAATGTTCTAATAAATGACACCGACCTTAAATAATAGGTTAAAAACATAAATTAAAAAAAAAATTCCTTGCCGTGGGGTGGGAGGGTGGGTGTTCAGATTTTAGTGATGTGTGATTCAGGGAGGGGATGAGATTAACTAAATGTGGACTTCAGATTTTTTTTTTGCTTTAAAAAAGTCAGTGTTTTTAAATTAAATTTTAAGCATTCGGGAAGTAAGATTAGTATTTCTTTAAGCCGTTTCTCCAGGGCAGAGGATATTGGGGGTACCACCTAATAAGTATACTGTTACCACGGGACGAAATGATAAAAAAATAATAATTTTAAATTGAAAATATCATTTGACCACTGTCCCTCAGTCTCCGCTGACGCGTAGCGAGGGGGGGGGGAGGGGGGCGGGGGAGGTACATATGTCCCCGTACGCAAACCCTAGGCGGCGCCAAAATGGGTTGGAAAAAAATTAAAAGCTCATTTTAGCTGCAGTTTTGCATTATAAATATAAAAAAAAATATATAGAAGAGGGTGCCAAATTGAAAGTTTGTTCGGGGGGGGGGGGGGATTGTGGCAAATTGAAAGTTTGTCCCCGGGCGCCGGGAAGCGTCGCTACGCCTCTGTCTCTCCGCAAGGAAGTTTCAAATACCCTCCTCCAAGTCACTCCAAGCAAAATGTCTGAAAGAAACCCTATCTATAATATCACTCGTGGTAGTTTAAAATTGTGTGTATGACTGGTAGTTGATTGAATTCAACAGGTTCATTGAATAACTAGCCATCGGTACCCGTTTCACGTGAATTATAGGCCTATATATTTTAAAATGTACTTGTTTGAGAAAAATAATTTACGAAATAGTTATTGCTCAAAGCGCAGTGTGCTTCACCACACGCTGAACAATATTAGTGACAAAGCAAAAATAACTAATTAGCTAAAAATCAGACACATCTAACACAACACAGGCATACGCTGATTAAGTGACTTAAATGATTCCATTAAAAATCTGGCTATTCAATAGTCATTACGTTGTTTTTAAGTAATTTGTATTAGTTTGAAGATAAAATCCTAAGTAGTTCCTTGCTTTATAGTCTAAAATCGGAAGATTCACATATAAAAATAAAAATAAAAAATTAAGTTTGACTTGTCTAAATCGCGCACCACCTGCGTGGTATTAAGTACACTATCATCTCAGCTAATTATGCACCTTATAAAACACGGAGAATGAAAGACGTATCTAAAAAAAACTTAACTTACGTGAATATGCCTATTTTTTTCAAATTAATTTTTTTTAACCCAAATTAGCCAGTTCCATAGCTAAACAAAAAAAGATTTATATAAAACAATTAAGGCCTGAAATAGTTTAAAAGATAATTTCATTTTTTAAATAGAGTAGATAGTCTAAATCTAGATCTTAGTTACTTAGCGTCTACGTCTAGTTTTTGCGTAGATTTAGATATAGTCTAGAATCTAGATCTAGATCTAGAATCTCTAGATCTAGATATAGAATCCAAATAGATAAAAAACATGTTATAAGTTTAGGCCGGAAAAATTGTATTTTAACCATTTCATAGCGTACGTAGATCTAAATCAAATTTGAATGAAATAGTTCATTTCTTTTTATTCTAAACACGGCAGACGACGTCATTAGTTACTGTTTTATGCGTTTTTTTTTCACAACTATAAACGCTTTTCCTGTTTTTACATTCGAATACGCCTTTATTTTTTATTTTTCTTCTTTAAATAAAATTGTTGTTATACATTTAAAACATCTACCATATTATTTTCAACTAAAGTCCGTATCAAGTTCTCCATATATTGCTGAAGATTCTGACGTAATATCCGGCGAAAATATTTTGCGGACAGAGAGAGAGAGAGAGAGAGAGAGAGAGAGAGAGAGAGAGAGAGAGAGAGAGAGAGAGAGAGAGAGAGAGAGAGAAGTGCGCACATGGTCTTTTATATATTAGGATATTCGTAATTCATTATAAACATATATTGTTTTGTTTTGTTTTACTTTTTTATTTTTTCTATAGGGTGTATCGCACTCAGGAATACGGAGCGTACTTTCTATTTGTGACAATTGAAGAGTTAACAGTATACTTTCCCTGGTTTAAAATCCGAAACGCAAAAAAAACGGTAATTTTACGAGATGATCCCCAATACTGTTTGAAGGAAAACAGCACAGATGAGGTGGAAATAATCGCTAGAGACCTACTGATGAAAGGTATGCACATCTAAATATAGAAGACTATATATATATATATATATATATATATATATATAAATAAATAAATAAATAAATATATATATATATATATATATATATATATATATATATATATATATATATATATATATATATATATTTAAAAATTAAAATTTAAAAAATTTAAATTTAAATTTAAAAATAATTAAACTAATTAAAAATTAATAAAATATACAAAATTAAAAACAAAATAAATAAAATATTCTAATTAAAAACTAATTAATTGAAAAACTCATTAAAAACTAATTAAATATAATATATATATTTAAAAATTAAAAAATTTAAATTTAAAAAAAAATAAAAATTAAACTAATTAAACATTAATGAATAATAAATAAAAATTATAAAAATAAAGATTACAAAATTCAAACTAATTAAAAAATAATTAAAAACAAACAAATAATCAAATTGCGCAACTAGTTGATAAAAATTACAAAATTAAAAACAAAATAAATAAATTTACACTAATTAAAAACTAATTAAAAACAATCAAACTAATTAAAAACTCATTATAAACAAATTACGTAACTAGGTACCGGTGGTGATTACGTCACAAGATCACCGGTGTTAACCTACTGACCTACTCCCTCTCCTCCTCCCCCTCCTCCTCCCCCACCCTCGCCCACCTGCTCCCCCAGGGTGGGGGAGCATTTTATTATATCTCGTTGTTCCGGCGGCTCCTCCGCCTCCCCCACCTCACTCAGGTGGGGGAGTATTTTACCATATCTCGTTGTTCCTGCGGGTCCCCTCCGCCTCCCCCAGTTAGGGAGTATTTTACTATATATCATTTGCTCCTCCACCTTTATCTCCACCTCCCCCATATTAACCAAAAGGGACCTAATATACTACTTATACACACAATACAACAAAAAAAAACGCAACATAATCTGTTTTGTAATGTTCGAAAAAAATAATTGACATAATGATTCCTGGAATATTAATTAAGACAAGCGAACTAAGGGAAATAATCCCTCTCTTAATATAACTATGTATATTTCTACAAATTTAATTGTAAATGTTAAAACATATCAATAATTATTTAGTACGAGCCGACCCGCTGCGTATCATACGCCGCTATTTAGTTGTTTTTTTTTTTCTACTTTTCAGTAATTTATAATTTGTGAATTCGACAGTACCAATGCTGCCATTGAAAATATTTGCTTAAAAACACTACCCCCCCCCCCCCACGTGAAAGCAGCCTCCTCTTAGTTACCTCCTCTAAGTTTAAAATCGTTTCAAACTAAATTATCTGCCCCTAATAGCCGTCACCAAACCCGTCTCTGTGATTGTAAAATGTAAACAGAGTGAACACAACTCACCAGACAATGTGGGGGCGGGGTGGGGGTGGTTGTGATATTGATATAGAGGAAGAGAGGGGATTGTAAGGCGAGGTTGCAGCTTGTTTTCTAACGGCTCGAAGAAGAGAATTATATATATAGAAGATGTAATAAAGTAGCTTAGCACTATTCGTTTTAACAAAAAGATGTTGTCTACAATCAAAATTAAATATATTGTCATCATAAATGCTAAAATATTACAGCATAATGAAATGTTTGAAATTAGAGTTGGTATAAAATCAACCGTTTCTATGTAATTAAAAAACTTATTCTATTATGTAGAACATTCTAAATGAAAGCTTACAAATATCTAAATTATTGGTCTTGCAGTTGCGATCATTCATTTTTTAATCAGCTACTTGTTTTTGTGTTCTTTAAAGATAATTTTTTAACATAATGATAAGGTATGGGTTAGATCCCACTCCTCTTTACTGATAATTGCAAAAACAATATTTACAGAGTTTTATCTGTTTAAAAACTATGATTCTGTTGGCATGGTACTTTGGTACCTCATTACGCGTTTTCACAAATATACTTAACAGATCAGTTCGTGGTGTGTTGGGGGGGGGGGGGATTAAACTTCACTCATCACTGTCCAGCCACTTTAGGTGAAGAATCCAACTCAGTGTATGCCTAGGTGTGACATTAATGTCGCTCTGCACAGTTGTGATGGTGATGTGGGGGGGGGGGGTGTGGGTGGAAATAACCAACTCAGAGTGAACATAGCGTCGTTTTTAGATGACTGTTCTAAACATACATATACAATTATACATATATACTGATTCAGACGTAGATTTAAATAGGTAACAGTGGTATTATTGGTATTATGACAGTAAAAAAAAATTTACAGAGGGGTCCATGGAGGGGAGTGGGGTGTTGTTACCTTCTTACCCTCCCCTGCCTACGCCACTAGTTATACTATTCAGCGAACCTTTGTTCTAATTACCTTTCAAGTAATACAATGCGAACATACCAGCGGTTTCTATAAAATTACCATTATTGTTTAAACTTAAGCTCTCCATATCAACCAATCACTAACTGATTAAGCATTCAAATTCTCAAATGTTTTTTGAAAGCCTAAGCGATGCTGGTCAGTATGCCTAGAATATATATATATATATATATATATATATATATATATATATATATATATATATATATATATATATATATATATATATATATATAAGCAAACATAATGTATTTAAAAATAGGAAAATTAAGACCAATACAAATTAACATGGCACTATGTCTTGAATTTGTTAAGCGTAGGTTATTGTGAGAATCTTCCGTTTCTTCTTTAACCCCGAAGAATATATTGTAGTTTTTTTTTCTTCTCCCTTTAGTTAATTAAACTTTTAAAAATAAAATAGAAAATCTTGTAGAAAAAAAACGAATTGCGCACCAAGCGAATGGAAAACAATATGTGTATAATAGTGCCGAATATTATTAGTACCTTATAAATTCATATGCGTTTTTTGAGTAATCGGAAATAGCATAAAATACTACTTCCGGTCAATGGAAAATTACTCAAAATTTTAAAGATGGCAGAAATTTATATACTTTTTTACTTATAATAATATGTGAATTTTCTTTTATCTATCTGAAACAGTTCTAAAGTTATGGCCTTTAAACAGCTAAAAATAGAATAAATCCCACTTCTGGTTATCGGAAATCGCTAAAAAATTGAAACAGAACAACAAATTTGATATAATACTTGAATATGAAATTTCATCATCCTAGCTGTAACGATATTCAAGTTATCGTCTTCACAGACACACATACAGACACGGACAAAAATTGCAAAGACCAGTTTGTTCGATTCGATTTC